AGGGGGGGAACACCACAGACAGGGAAGGAGCACCTCCACGGGGCTTACAGCTTAGAGGAGGGGGTGGGGACACTACAAATTACACACACTTCCCTTGGGGGCGGGGCAGGGGCTGCCAGAAAACAGGCGATGTGATCAGAGAGGAGGTGGGGAGGCACCTCACGGAGGGGCACACGGGGGGCCCCAGGATCTGAGAAAAACTGAAGGGGAGAAGCATTCCAGTCCGAGGCAATGCGAGTGCAAAGGCCCTGGGGCGGGATCAAGCTCGGCCTCGTCTGGAGTGAGGGGAGGACGGTGTGGCTGGCACAGCCCGGAGGAGGGGATGTGGGCACGCAGGCCAAGGCAAGGAGTTGCCATAGCAGAGAGAAGCTGTTATACTCCTGGTTATAGTGCATTACGGCGGCCGGGTGGGGAGAGGCGCATCCGTCACTCCCAGGTCACTGGGCTCCCTAAAGAGCATCCGCACTAAGTTTCTAACAAGGGACAAAACCGCTGTTGAGTAAGAGGCGCCCAGACAGTCGGTGCATCTGAAACTGTGATGATCCTGAAAGGGCTGTAGGTTTTAAGTTTTAAAGTTTCCCTCGTTCTGGGCAGGAGGAGGCATGTATGACAGGCCGGCACCGGCGGGAAGACTGGAGTCGCCCACTCGATAAACACGCGTGGAGTCTCCATGCGCCAGGCCAGCGACGTGCAGGAAAGACAGAGATGCCAGAGAAAGACATGGCCCCGCCCGCACAGAGCTCACCGCCCGTGGGTGACTGTGACCAGTGACCGCACAGTTCACCACCTCTGGGGGGGGAGGCGGGGTCCCCTGGGAGAGGGCGAGGCAGAGACCTGGAGGAAATGGACTAGAAGGGACTTAGCGACTGCCTGTTCGGGCGCCTGAAGGAGGAAGGAGCTGGGGAAAGACCAGAGCAGCTGGGGGCAGAAGAGCCATTTGCCAAGCTGGGGAGACTGGGACGGGAAGCTGGTGGGAAGCCACGCCTTCCCTTTTGGAGAGCGTCTGTGGTGAAGGCCCAGAGCTGTAACCCTGCGGGAAAAACCAACGCACAGCCTGCATTCTCAGAGTGCTGTGCCCAGGCCCCCGCGGAGAGCTGTAGGCTGTGGGATCTGGTGCGTGTGTTGTGAGGCCGGGATGTGAGTGACGGGGCAGGCGGGAAGCAGCAGTGGATTCAGAGTGCCAGCAGGACCAGGGCTGCGGCAGAAGGAGCCAGGCCGCCCGCGAGGACGCACTTGGCCTGGCTCCCTGAGCCCGGGCACAGCTGCCCTGAGGGCGGGGACGTGTGGGGGGGCGGCCTGTGTGCTGCCGGATGCTGAGCGGCAGCCCAGCCTCCACCCACCAGATGCCACGAGCACCCTCTCCCCAGTGCTGACAACCAAGAATGTCTGCAGAGCCTGGACAGCGTGGCTCAGTGGTTGAGCGCTGACCTATGAACCAGGAGGTCAGTGGATCGATTCCCGATCAGGACACATGCCCGGGTTGCGGGCTCCCTCCACAGCAGGGGGTGTGCAGGAGGCAGCCGATCAGTGATTCTCTCTCATCATTGATGTTTCTATCTCTCCCTCTCCCTTTCTCTGTAAAATCTATAAAAACATATTTTAAAAAGTTAAAAAAAAAATGTCTGTAGACAGTGACCAACGGCCCCATTTGTTCTCGACTCCGTTGGAGAGCCCGAGGGGAGGCAGTCAGCCCTGAGGAGAGAGGACCCGGGAGGCCGCCACAGAGCGTCCACGCGGCCTTGCCAGACTGTCCAGCGAGTCTGGTTGAGCTTTGGAAAGTTCAACAGCCTTGTGGGAAATGCAGCATCTAACGGGGAAGCTGGCCCTGGATTAAACATCCAATGCCACCTGGGACTCGGGGCTGGGTGGGGGGTGGGGTGGGGGTGGAGGCCCCCAGGCTCTGCTCACCGGAACCCACCTAGGGCGCCATCCGGAGGTTGATGGGGTCATAGGCCGACACCAGCAGATCCTGCAGCAGCGAGCGCAGGCCGCTCCTCAGCGAGTCGTAGGGGGGCTTCTCCTCGTACCTGAGGGCCATCACCACCTTCAGGTACTCTCGCAGCGTCTCTGTGGGCAAGACACCCACCAGGGAGGGGCTAAGGGGCGGACCCGGAGCGGGAGCTGTGCCCGGAGGTCCGCTGCGGTGCCCCTCGGCTCAGGGCTGCCTCTGTGCCAGGCACTTGGACACCCCCCGCCCCCATTTTTGGAAAACGTCAGACGTGTGCAACAGACAAACAGTATCGTGAACCCCGCGATCCCACCACCTGGTCTCCACGCTGTCAACTCACAGCCGACCTGCTCCATCCGAGCCCTCCCCGCTCCCCGCTGATGGTTTTCACGCAGATCCCAGCTACTCGGGTCGTTTTCCTGCAAACATTTCGTGTGTCTCTAGCGGCCAACGTCTACTGTAAACCCAGAGAGCAGACGCTGTTGGCCTTGCGCAGCCCTGGGTCTGTGTCTGCACGGCCTCAGCTCAGCTGCTCTCGCACAAAAGCAGCCACGGGCCACCGGTCAGCGAATGGGCGTGGCCGGGCCCCGACTTTTGGGGCTGCTGCAGCCTGGACTTCAGGGAAGGTTCACAGTCCTCTTCTGGTCCCCCACCCCCGCCCCCCAACCATTTCGAAACGTAAAACAATTCCTAGGTCACCGGCTTTGCAGACACAGGCCCCAGGGACATGGCTGGAATGATAAAGGCTTTTCCCCCCTAAATAAGCAAAATACCATTGTCGCTCTTTTAAGAAGTGCCAATTATGACACCAAAACAACAGTCACTAAAGTCCCCACTTGGGGGGGAACGTCTACAGCAGCCTGGTCTGGGAGGGAAAGCTCATGGAGTTAGGGAGGCAGCTCTGAGCACAGGCCTGTGTTGCATTCTCTGGGGAAGCCCGGAGGTGGGGCTGTCCCTGGCCCCTTTCTGCACTAGCTGCGGCTCAGAGAGGCACCGCACCCACGGAAGCCCCAGGCTGGTTCCAGCAGGGGGGCCTGCCTGACTGTGGAGCTAGAGCTGGGGGCTCCTTTAAGGATCAAGAACAAAGGCTGGAGGGGAGAGGGACGTGAGTGGCAGAGCCATGATTTGAACCGAGGGGCGTCAGGCAATTAAACAGTGAGCCCTGCCCTAGCCAGTCTGGCTCAGTGGATAGAGCACTGGCCCGAGGACTGAAGGGTCTTGGGTTCGATTCTGGTCAAGGGCATGTTCCTTGGTTGCAGGCTCGATCACCGGCCCTGGTTGGGGCGTGCAAAAGGCAACTGACCGATGTGTCGCTCTCACATTGATGTTTCCCTTCTCTCTCTGTCAAAATCAATAAAATATATATTTTTTAAAAAGGCTGGAGGGGAGAGGGACGTGAGCGGCAGAGCCATGATTTGAACCGAGGGGTGTCAGGCAATTGAACAGTGAGCCCTGCCCTAGCCGGTCTGGCTCAGTGGATAGAGCATTGGCCCGAGGACTGAAGGGTCCTGGGTTCGATTCTGGTCAAGGGCATGTACCTTGGTTGCAGGCTTGATCACCGGCCCTGGTTGGGGCGTGCAAAAGGCAACTGACCAATGTGTCGCTCTCACATCAACATTTCCCTTCTCTCTGTGTCTCTCCGCCTGCCTACCACTCTCTCTAAAAATCACTGGGGAAATATCCTCGGGTGAAGATTAACAACAACAAAAAAGGGAGCCCTGCCCTGGCCAGGCCGAGGGTGACTGCAATACACCAAGGCTGTGGGTTCGATCTATGGTCAGGGCACATGCAAGAATCAACCAATGAATGCACAAATACATGGGACCATAAATCCCTGTCTCTCTCTCTCATCAATAAAAAAAGTGAGCCCTCACCGACCTGGAGGATCCATGTCTGTCTCATTCTGTCTCCTGTTTAGGGAGCTTTTAGAGGTTCTACACAAATACCACTGGAAAAACAACAACCCCAAACACAACAAAACAGCCTAAGTCACCAGTGGTAGGGATTGGCTTTAAAGGATGGTTTATTCCCGGCTGGTGGCTCAATGGTTAGAGGGCCGGCTGCACACCGCAGGGTTGTGGGTTCAATTCCTGGTCAAGGGCACATACCTTGGGCTGCAGGTTCCATCCCTGGCCTCGGTCAGGAGGCAACCATTGGATGTGTCTCTCTCACACCCATGTTTCTCTCTCTCTCCCCCTTCCTCTCTCTAAAAGCAATAAAAACATATTTTTAAAAAAATGCTGACTTGCCCTAGCCAAAGGGATAGAGCATTGATCTGCGGACTGAAGGGTCCTGGGTTTGATTCCGGTCAAGGGCACATACCCAGATTGCAGGCTCGATCTGGGTCCTGGGTTTGATTCCGGTCAAGGGCACATACCCAGATTGCGGGCTCGAACTCCAGAAGGGGGCGTGCATGAGGCAGCTGATCAGTGATTCTCATTACTGATGTTTCTATCTCTCTTTCCTTCTCCCTTCCTCTCTAAAATCAATAAAAATATGTTCTTAAAAACTCTACAAGCACTTTGATTCCGGTCAAGGGCACATACCCAGATTGCGGGCTCGAACTCCAGAAGGGGGCGTGCAGGAGGCAGCTGATCAGTGATTCTCATTACTGATGTTTCTGTCTCTCTTTCCTTCTCCCTTCCTCTCTAAAATCAATAAAAATATATTTTTAAAAACTCTACAAGCACCGACACAGAAAATCTCAAAGGTAGACTTCTAACATAAAAAAAAAAATCAAGCCGGACACCATTGTACAGAATATGATTCCATTTAAAAAAATCGTGTACACGTGGCTGTGCGTGTGTAGCTATTATTATTCAGACACACTTCCCGAATTTTGGGGAAAGATTTTTGCTTTTCTACAATGAGCGTATAGCACACGCAATCTGAAAGATTCAAAGACAGCAAAGGGGTGTTAAAGGGAGGCGACCCCGCTTGGATCCCAGCCCCGGGTCCTGCCCCAGCCCCCCGCCCACCCGCTCCTTGGGGACGTACCTGAGGGCTGCACCCAGTGACTGCAGTGTCCCACGAGGGCCTCCGGGGTATTAAGGAACCTGGCGGGGCAGAGGTACATGCGAAGGTCTTTCGGGGAAGGGAGAGCAAACCTTTGAGACAAAACCTCCCATCGCCGTACAGCGGACTCCTGTCATCCGCGGCAGCTATGGCCCACAGAGCGGCCGCGAACACCGAATGAGCACGTTCTGAATCTGTTTTGAGGGGAAACACAGCATTAGGTTCCCAGGAGCCTCTGGTTACAACGTTCTCATCAACCGATCGACGCTGCATCACCTTGTTTTACGGGTTTAAACTCACCTCATTTAGTATCGCGTGGATTTGCTCACATCGAGCTCGCTGTGCCCGAAGGAAGCTCATCTAGCTCACACACGTGCTTCCTCTGTGAAGCACATCCCCGCCTCCCTGCACTGAGGAACACGAGACGGCACCTCAGCGCTACGCTTGGGGCCCCTCTGAACAGCGAAATCACCAACGGAAAGCACATAAAGGTGGAAAATGTGGTGCTGAACAAGCCACATGCAGGGCGCTGGTGCGCGGAGTGAGAGCTGAGCGGCGCTGTGTCCGACCTCAGCTGGGATCACGGCCGTCGGGAAGGTGACTCCACACTTTCTCCGCTCTGAGCCCTGGCCGGTGTGGGTCGGGCTGGGCATTGCCCCATAAACCAAAGGTTGCTGGTTGACTCCTCTCCAGGGCACATACCCAGGTTGTGGGTTTGATCCCTGGTTGGGGTGCATGCAGGAGGCAACCAATTGGTTTCTCTCTCACACTGATTTTTCTCTCTCTCCCTCTCCCTTCCTCTCTCTCTGAAAATCATTAAAAACACATAAAAAATCTTTTCCCTCCACACTGCGTGTGTCTGAGAACAACCACGAAAACACTGCAAGGTTTGGTTTTGGAGTTACAAATACATTTTAGTGAACGTACAAATTCACAAATATGAAATCTGTGAATAATGAAGATTGACTATTCACACACAAATATTTATACACATATACATGTATAAACAACACCAACCCCCCCCTCCCCGGGCCACTTGGGAAAAATGGAAATTCACCCACGTCCTGTGCTCCACGCTGAGCCCAGCGCACTGTACCTTCACTGGCCTGGACCACTGGCTGGCTCCCCAGTGTGCACCCGGCCACTGGGCGCTGCCCTCCCTTCCCCCACAGCCCAGAAGTCCCCAAGCCCCCCTCTGTGCATGGCTCTGGGCTCGGCTCAGGCCTCATCCTGTCCCCGGACCTCAGCCTCCTCCCCAGCCTCCTGTGCATGGCCCCAGAGTCTTTCTACACCCAGGGCTGCCCCTGCCCCTCCCAGCTCACAGCCCTCCCGGGCTCCCCAGGAAAAGCCCCTGGCACGCCTGCCAGCTCCCCTGACCTTGTCTCTCTGACTGCCTCCTTCCATCTCATGCTCCAGCCATACCAAACTTTACATATATAGATTTATTGCTGACAGTATTACAGATGTCCCCCAAACAGCTAGTCCCCGAAAGGGCTCAAACATCCACCTGCATCTTCTGGTCTCTGCACAAAATGCTCCCTCTGCCCTGGACGGCCTTTCCCCGCCTTGACCCACTCAGTGGCTGCTCCCCCTTCGGGACACAGCTCAAGGGCTGGTCTGGGGAAGCTTAACTCATTAATCACTATGCTTTAATTATGTTCAGTTTGTAACAATGAAGTTGGGGGTCACCACAACATGAGGAGCTGTATTAAAGAGCGCAGCATTAGGAAGGTTGAGAACCACTGCACTAGAGCAGCTGGCAGGGCACGTGTACGGGAAGGGCTGGGTCCGACCCCTTTCTCCCGCAGCCGCAGGATGTGTGGTGAATGAAGGAAGGAGGCGGTGAGCGATGGCCCGAAAAGCACTCCTCCCCACAACAGGCTGTCGCTGTCAGTGTCCGTGGGGCCTTCCTGCCCTGTTGGCAGCCTCAAGAGCACGGACCAAACCTGAGTCCTATCTGTGCTTTCCCAGCTGGGAGCTTCACGCACCGAAAGCCTCGGGGCATCACACTGTCCCTTCTAGTCATTCATTCTGTCATGAACTGGGAGGCACAAGAAAACGAATCAATATTTGTTGAATGAATGGGAAAAGGCCACACACATCAGTAAGAAGTCCTGGAGAAGTGAGGGTTCCAGGAAACCTGCACGTGCCAACATCGCCCCCTCGTGGTTCTTTCGGCGACTGCGGGGTTCAGGATGACAGCTATGTTACCGCCCACATCTCTCCAGGCAGCATCTTTTCATGCCAGGCCCTCCCTTTGTGGCTGTGGTTGAGACCTGGGGCTCTAGAATGAACTGTTGTTCATACTGAGATCATCAATATTAAAATGATTACTAGGACACACCAACCCAGGTGGCTCAGGTGGTTGGAGCATCATCCCATATACCCAAGAGTCTCAGGTTCGATTCCCGGTCAGGGCACATGCCTAGGTTGTGGGTTTGATCCTCAGTCAGAGTGTGTACAGAAGGCAACTATTGATGTTTCTCTCTCTCTCCCTTACCCTTTCTCTAAAATCAATACCCTCCCCCCAACATATGTCCTTGGGTGAGAATAAATAAAAGATAAGATCTAATTATTACTGAGACCTATTTCATTTACTCTGCATCAGTGTGGCGACTGCAGAGCCTCTTAGCGAGGCACTGAGTCATCAATGATCTCCAGTGAAGGAGAAGGTGGGAGAGACGTGAAATGGGAGATATGACTGTTCTGAGGAGTCAGGGGAAGCAGAGGGAGAGAGGATTCAGCCCAGGGGAGCCTCAGCAGATGGTTTCGCTGAAGACAGGCGGTCCGCCTGGCTGATTCCCAGCATTCCCAGCCCAGGGGCTGGCACACAGATGCCCTGGGAAAACAGGGTCTGAATGAATGGATGAATGAAGAAGGCAGGTATGTGCTACCCTGTTTGCCTGGAGATCCTGTTCCCCTGCCTGCCTGGGAAACAGCTCTGCTCTCTACAGACGGGGTCAGGCACCTTTTGGGTACAGGCTCCTCCCGGCCCAAGGCCAGGTCCATGCCTCCCTCTGCTCCCACAATGCCCGGGGGGCTGCCACCACATCACATGCAGAGTCTGCTTCCTGCCCGAGCGTCCCCTCCAGCAGGGGAACCCCCGCAGGGCTGGGGCACATCTGTCCGACCTGTGTGTCTACACAGAAGCCCAGGCCTGAGGATGAAGGCTCACGTATGCATTCCACAACTCTTCCGCGAGCGCTCACAACAGGCCACGCACTGCGCTGTGAACAGCATGGCGGTGAAGAAAGCGGATGTGGCCCCTGCCCTCACGGACATTTGACTTACGATGGCCCCGCGGAGGACCTGCTCCCTGCCCCCATGTCCTCTCCCCTCTTTGAAGGCAGAATCCCAAGGTCAGCCGCCACAGGCAGAGACGCCTCCCCAGCCACAGGGCGGCCGAGAGTCACATATCATTTCTGGTCCCGCCCTTTAAAGTAATGGGAGCCCTGGCCAGTGTGGCTCAGCGGATAGAGCGTCAGCCTGCGGACAGAGGGTCCCGGGATTGATGTCGGCCAAGGGCACATGCCCGGGTTGCGGGCTGGATCCCCAGTGTGGGGCATGCATGGGCAGCCGATCAATGATTCTCTCTCATCACTGATGTTTCTCTCTCTCTCTCCCTCTCCCTTCCTCTCCAAAATCAATAAAAAAATATATTTAAAAAATAAAAGTAATGGGAGACTGTGGCCACAGAGCTAGGCCCAATAATAAAACGAGAGGCTCACGATGAACCAGTGCACGCCGAGAACTGAGAAGCGCCACGGACCCAATGCTGCTCACTGGGGAGTTTTCCCTCTTCCCACTCAGCACCCGTCCCAGGGCGTCTTTGGTGCTGAACCTCATACCCCAGCACTTCCTTTTGCAGCCAACAGGGCACTGTCCTTGGTACTGAAAGTCTTTTGCTGACAATTCCCGAGATACCTGAGGTCTGGGCTTCCGTTTAGACTTCATTTCTGCATGTCAGACATCGACAGCCAACGTCTACTGGATGACCCTTCCTGGATGACTCCTGGGCACCTCAGCCCCCAAGTCTATACCAGATTTTGAGTCTCAGCCTCTGTACCTGCAGCACTTCCTGTGTCCAGCTGTCCACTGACTGTCCTTGGCGCTGAGGACCACAGCGCCCTTTGCTCACTCTGAGCCCAGATGGCCTGTCCGTGGTGCTGAACCCCACACGCAGCCCGTTCCTACTTTCCTTTGCAAACAGGTGCCTCTGTCTTTGGTGCTGAACCTCATACCCCAGCACTTCCTTTTGCAGCCAACAGGGCACTGTCCTTGGTACTGAAAGTCTTTAAAAAAACGGAACTAGCAGGATCTGGTGGTTTTGTATGCTGAGGGGAGGAGGGAAAGTGTGAAGACAGACAATAGATCCAGAGACATTGAAGCATGAAACAGATTGATGTACTTCAGAGGGAGGGAGGGTGCGCAGAGAGATTAACCAAAGAACTTATATGCATATATGCATAACCCATGGACACAGACAATAGTGCAGTGAAGACCTGGGGAGGGGGGAGGAGAGGGGTGGAGGGAATCAATGGGGGAAATAAAGAGGACATCTGTAATACTTTCAACAATAGAAATAAATTCAAATATATATATTGGCCATATTCTTATTTTTCAGTTGGACTTTCTTCAAAAATAATGAGCAAAGAATGCAAATATTTTAGAAGGTTATAAGTATCCAA